GCTGCTGAAGCCCTCCAGGCCAGCCCAGCTCCCAGCAGGGTGGTCTCTGTGTGCTGCACCAGTGCCTGGGCACGTTTAAAGGGTCCTCATAGCACATTCCACACCAAAACCCAGCAGAGATGGAACTCTCAACACCAGAAGCTGCACAAAGCAGATGGGTCAGGGATTCAGTGTTCCTTCTGCCCCTACACGATTTGCCATCCCTTCTCGTACTATGTGATTCCTGGGTGAGCAGCACACACCTTTCAGTGCCTCTCTGACCCAGCAGACAAACTCCTTCTGCTGGGCCAGCTCCCTCAGACAGCCACGGCGGGGCACAGTGATCCCCTGCAGCAGCTTCTTGGCTTGCACGAGCTCAGGGCTGATGGAATCCAGCTTCTGGGTCTTGTAGGATTCAAGCTTTTCTGTCTGGAAAGCAAGTGGTGCAAACACACACTGAATCTGGAATTGGGAATGCCACTGCTTCTGCAGCAGGGAAAGGAAAGCCCTCTGCAAAGCCACACCCCAACAGAGCAGCACCATCACCTCCCTTTAAGGAATGACTACACAAAGGCACTTGGAACATCTGAATTTTACCTCAAATAAGCTTTTTGCTTCAAGGAATGGCTCTGACAAACTGGGGTAGACTTATGGGAAGGTTCAAATTTAGCCAACACCCTGACAGTACAAAGCCAAGGTCAGGGATACTTACTATATGCAACAAGTTTTCCAGGATACTGAAGTCACCAGAGAGGCCCAAACTCTCTTTGACATGGGCAATGATCTTGGCAGCATCCAAGGTTAAATGCATTTCATGGTACTGCTGGATCTGCTGCACTCGCAGGTCAACCCAGCCTCTGTCCTCTGCAGGCTGAAGGCCACAGATGGTGTTCAGCTCCACCCTGAGATCCTCAGGATGATTTGTGAATTCCTGAAAAGTTCTATCCACGGCAGAAAGCGTGAGACTTCCTGATCTGAGATCATCATACAGCATGGCATAGCTGTCAAAGCAAGGGCGGATCACGCTGTTCAAAACCTCATCAAGGTCCAGCTCAGGAGCAATCTCCTCCTCGTCCTCATCCTCATCCTCATCCTCCTCTGGACTGTCACACACATACTCCTCTCCTGCCTTCTGTGCTGCTTCCTCCCAGAACTGCTGGAAGATCAGGCTGTCCTTGAAAGAGTGCATTTTGTGGACAAACTCTTTCAGCTCAGGGCTCAGGCTGTAGAAGGCCTGCAGGGGCCTCCTTCCCAGCAGCACAACTTGATTCAGTCTTTTGAAGCGAAGATCTTTTGAGTGTTGAAATGCCACCTCACCAACATTCACTGTAAACCAGAGACAGGCCAGAGGGAGATCAGCTGGTGCAGGCTGGCTCCAGCTCCCTTCATCCCACCCCTCACGCCACAAAATGCTGCCAGGCAGGTGGACCCCTCCAAGTGTCATTTGATGCACAACCACTCACTTGATCCCCTCAATGCTCTGGTTTTACTTCCCCCACCCCTCCTCACCCTCACTTTGGGGCTTAGAATCAAACCTGCTCCCAAAGCCCGAGATTTTAAAGGAAAATGCTGTTTTCTAGAGTTGCCACTTCCAGACTGCTCCCCCAGACTCTACCTCTCACAGACTTCTGCACCTTCCTGCACATGCTCAGGAAGGTTCCTACTGCTTTTTCCTCTCTTCTGAGCTGTGTGACTTCTTCATGCCTCAATGCCAGCAGCTCTTTCAGGCTTCTCTGGAGCAGCTCCTTTTCCTCACTCGGTCGTTGCTGGTGCTCTGAAAGAAAACTCACCTGTAGTCACAAAGCAGAGCTTCCCAAGCCCTGCATTCCAACTCAGGCTGGGAACTGCAGAGTGACTAACCCTGCAGTGACAACACAAACTGGAGCTGAGAGCTGCCTGCCCAGGCCAAGGGACAGCACTCCAAACTGCTGCAGCACTTCCTGAGCATTCCCAAC